TTTTTTTTTTTTTTTTTTTTTTTTTTTATTGATTTTCGGTTTTTAACATTTTTCAACTTATTATTCTTCTTTGTTTTGTTTTATTATTTAAATATTTAACAATATTACCAAATAATGTGCTCATCTTCTTGTCTTATAATTTCGTGCTATTTATTTGTTTAAAAAAAAAAGGGGAAAAAAAACATGTAAAAGTTATTACAAATCTAAATAAACTGCACTCAACTCGTCGTTATTTGTCGTCGTCGTCGTCGTTGTTATTGTTGCTGTCGTCCTCATTTATTGTGCCCATCGTAATAGTCATCGCATCGGAATCTTCTTTACAACTATACATATCAACAAAGAGTTAGCGTAAGTGAATGGAATAGAATAGGACTAAGTGGATACATGGATGAATACCGCATGAAACCACCTTTGATAAATCTTTCTTTGCACACCAAAAGTTTGTTTGAAAAATTTTTTGAAGCATCTTCTGTTCAGTTTTACAATTTTTTAAGTAAACTGTCGCTGTATCATTCTGGCATATTGGTTATTCTGTGGCCTCTGACATGCAAAACAGCGCTCAAATAACCAAACCAGTTGGCTGTTAATTAAACTTTACAGTTTTGTATAGCAGTATAAATTGTTCAATTTTGTTTCCGATATTGTTTCATTAAAAATTGTATAATTAACAATGACATCATATCGTCAAAAAGATTCGCTGTCATTGATGTTCCTTGTTGTTGTTGTTGTTGTTGTTGTTGTTGTTGTAGGATGATTATACTGTCATCTGTCCATCAATTTATAGCCATAGTTTTCAATAGACGGCAACAAATGTAAAATGAAATTTTCACTGACTATACAATAAGCGATACTGAAAATGAATAAAAGCTATAAAAATGACTCATAAAAATGCAACAGCTTTATTGTTGGGTATACAAAATAAAAGAAAAAAAAAAAAAAGAAGAAAAGAACTACCCAATTTAAAATTGCTCTATTAACTGTCGTTATTAACATTTAGTAATAATATTATTATTGTCATAATTACTGTTGTTATTTCAATTTAACTAATATTATTGTTTCTTAGGCGATTGCAGAATAGTAAACTGTTGGTTCAGTGCTATTTATTTATTTGGTTAAGTGTATTCCGCTTTATGAATGTTTGAAAAAAATAAAAATAAAAAAAATAAAAGAAACGAAGAAAAAACAAAAAGAAACGGAAAGAAAAGGAGAACAAAATAAAACAAAAAAGCTGTCAAAAAATTGAAAAATTATGAAATTCAACTGCCTCCCCTATTTCAGAAAGGGAAAAAAAAGAAGCAAAAATTTGTCAGTTTTAAATCTAAACTTGCAGTTCTTCTCACCCACACAGTTTTACAGCTTTTTTATATCAAACTTATCAAAGATTTCCTTTTTTTTTTTGACAGATTATTGAAGCTAAGCTGAGAAAAAACAAAAAAAAAACCAAAGAGCAACGGAACAAATCTGAACTTTTAAAACTGTTAAATTGCAAAACAAAGAAAACTTATTTTGCTTTTCTTTTTTTTTAACATATTTGCATCTCAGCTTTTT